GTTCTCAAATTAAAGTTAGTGTATCTTTTCTAGTACTTGAACAATAGCTGGCTCAAAAAGGATTCTGCTAAATGGGTGAGAAAGAACGGATGAAGCATCAGATGCACTCCTTGCTATAACGGAAATAGTTTTTACAAGGGCTAAGCAATGCTACTGACCTTCAGCAAACTCTGAGACTATGATAATGATTATCCAATAATTAATAAGGACTACTGCATGCCCATTACTGTGCATGGCACAGATCTCGTTTTGGTTTCTTAGAGAGCAGAACATGTTGGCTCATCAAAGTCCAAGGATAACCACTGCCCACATTTGTAGCAGTGAGCCCTCCAATAATCTGGAAGGTGGTTGTTAGAGACGACTGCCAGGCTGTTCAAAACTGACTGACAGGCAGTAACGATGGCAACACATCACAGACTGAGTGCCTGCCATGAGCCTAGTGCAGTTTTAAATATTTCCCATGTACTAGCTGTGTTGGGCCTGGGCCCCCACACTGGCCCCAGCCTCAGAGAGGTAACCTGTGAAACTCTTGATATACTTCAGTTCAGTTTGCAATTAAAATTCCTGCACCATCTGTCCATCCCAGCACCAAAGTACTCACCCCGGGCATCCTGCTTTGCTATACCCTAACTGGGAGATGCTCTGATCCAGTGAGAACAAGGATCAAGTTATGGAATGGGCAGACCAGGAAGGGTGGGTGGCCCGAGTTCCCAGGCTCACTTAACTGAACCAACCTGACTTCTCCCTGAGGGACTCCTGCTCCAGGAAGCACCAGTCCCCAGGAGCCTACATACAAAGAGGCAAAAGAAGCACAGGAGCTATTGCAGAACATTAATATGCCTTTTGTCCTAAGTCTGAGATAGGAAATATTAGAGCAAAATGGAGCCTTAACTCCAGCAGCAGCACGGCCACCAGAACTCCCGCTGAGTAGCATCTGCTTCAGGGTTTCTCAACCTCAGCACTACTGACATTGGGGACAGATAATTCTGTGTTAGGGGTGGCTGTCCTGTGCACGGTAGGATGTTTAGCAGGATCTTTGGTCTCTACTCACTCACTGTCAGAAGCACCCTCACCCCGCGGTTACAAGGACCAAAGATGTGTGTGTAGACACTGCCCGATGCCCCCAAGTGTACAGCCACTGATCTACACGAATGTTTGGCTCTCTCTCTGCTTCACCCACAGCTCAAAGACTAAAAAAACAACTCCCAACACAGACCCCAACTTTTCTTCCCCTTTTCCTCACCTGGCTACAGACCTTGGGTTCCTTGGGAGGATGAGGAAGTGGCAAGGACACAGAGCCAGAAGAGAACCAGGAGAAAAGCCCACTGAGCTGTCAGCACCCCAAGGGCAGAAACGGTCGGTTTTATGTGCTGCTGTACCCCAGCCCCTAGCACAGTGCTGGGCACATGGCTGGCACTCCAGATTTACTGAATCAATACATCAACCAATGAATGAACAAATCAACGGGTGAAAGACTGGGACAATGCTAATTGTTCAAGATGAATTCTAGAGGCCCTTGCAGGCCTGCCGACTCTGGATGACTCTTCCCTCAACACCCCTCCAAATTCCCTAATAGCAGTACCTTCTCTTCCCGCCAGGCTGGTAATATAGTCCAGTCCATCTGCAATATGGACCTTCATCCGGTCACTCTGGGAGAAGCCAAACCACTGGGTGGCCACTTCCAACATGGAGGGGTCGATCTCCACAGCATCAACGCAGGACTTCGGGAAATGATCGTGGACAAACAGGGGGAGGCTGCCCCCACCCAGGCCTACCACCAACAATGCCAGTGGGGTCTCTGCAATAAAGAAATAAAGCATCATTTGACAATCTGCTCACTGAAAGTTTTGTACCAGCCTTGGGGAAGGCAAAGGAGGGAGTTGGATTATTGGCTCTGCCCAGGGGACACAAGATTTAGAGGCCCAGCCTCTGTCTCATCCCAGAACTTTAGGGCCAGTCTGACATCTGAAAATTCAACCGTGGCCTCACAATCCTTCCTTTACTAGATCCAGAAGCTGTGTGTTATTACAGACGCTTAAAGATCCCAGAGCACTCAGCTGACATCATACCAAGAGTCCCCACCATAAGCATTATTAGATTTCCCCTAGGAATTGGGAGGGACAATGGCCAACATCTCGCTCGTGATCACAAGGTAATGTAGATGCAATGCCCTCTGCCCACCTTTCAACTCAAAGGCCACAGCTGCCCTCTCAGAAACATCAACCCACCGACGGCAATCCATCCAAGTTCCAGAAATCACGAGAAAACAAAGGCCCAAATCCTAGTCCTAAGTACAGAGAAACCTCAGCAATCACAGGCAGACAGAAGACAAGAAATAAGAAAGAATCACCGAAAGGAGACATTAAATGTAAGATTAATATCTGAGGATTAAATCTAAGAACTGAGACTCCAGGAACATACATCAACACCAAGATAGGCTGGGAGTACAGGATGTTTCAGTAAGACATACTCAGGACTTTGGGTGAACAGTTACAAGCCCAGACAGAAAAAGGAACATTTTTGCTACTATGGTCAGATCCAAACCTGTTATTAGTAATAAGGCTATGGATTGTTCTACCTATAATACAGATTTTTTAATTAAGTAGAAATTCAAGAAAGAATTGCATCTGGTGCTCAAATAATACATTACTGAAAGCCAGAAATTCTTCTCAAGTGCACAAGAATTTCTGGAGTCATGATTTTAAATGTTCCATCTGGTTACATGGGTAGACACATATGCAAACACTCATCAAAATGAACAACTTAAAATCTGTACTTTATGTATCTCACTGAATACATTTTATACTTTAATATTTTAAATAAATGAATAATGAAAAAATTTAGACACCCACATGTGCAGCCATTTTGAGATTACAATCTGAGTTTGAGGGAAAAGCTACTGGATGTTTATTAACTTAGAAGAAGAATGGGAAGAAGAAAACTATGAATATATGTGCATTTGTTGGTCTGTAATCGCTGTGCTCAAAGCACAAGACAGCTGTCGTCTTACACGCCCCCTCCTGTGGCAGGCAGCGGAGTCTCCCTCACCTAGGAGCAGCTCCGGGTTTCTGAGCAGGGCAAGGCCCGCAATCATTGCTTTGTGGTGTTCACAGCACAGGTAACTCTTGTCAATGGACTGCCCTGGGGCTGCGGGGAGGTCCTCTGGAGCGTCAGCAGGCCGCTGCTTCTTCCTGTCCTTTTTCCGTTTCTTCTGGGCTAAATGAGAGATAGAGATGATGAGGTCCTGTGCTTGGCACTCGAAAGCAAGCCATACCAACAGCACTGTGCTGTTGTGAGCTTGATCAGACTCAAGAACCCACGCCACGAGGCACGGAGCCTACTTTAAGGAAAAAAAAAAAGGATCCCAGAGGACATGGCCTAGGTCTACACTGTCCAATACTGTAGCCACTAGCCACTTGTGGCTACTGAAATGTAAACATAAATTACAATTTAAAAACATTAAAGATTCAGCACCTTACCTGCACCAGCCACATTCTATGTGCTCAGAAGGCACATATGGTTAATGGTTACCATATTGGGCAGCTAAGTGGATATTAAACATTCCCTCCAATGCAGAAAGTTCTACTGAATAGCACCGTACCAGGTGACCTCTAAGGTACCCACCAACTCTAAAGCCCTTCTGAAACATATGCTAGTGGCTAGCAGTATGGAGGAGATGGGGTTCACCTGCACCTGTAACGTTTCTGGCTCACCTCACAGAAGTTTACTGAATTAACATAAAACAGATGCATATGGAGCAACGTACAAAACGGATGGCCTCTAAACTGAAGGCATTAAAGTGATAACCACATCTATTTGGTAAACCATCACCCCAGCCCCTTATCATTTGAGACCCAGGCTTCGCTCAAGAACAACATACACCTCCTTTCTGCTTATTGCCGTTTACACTTGAAGAGCCCAAATGGTAACAGGACAACTTGCAGAGCCATGTGCCTCTGATCACAGGTACCCAGGTCTGTCCTACATCTTGGCCAATCTCCCAGGTCAGTCTGGCCACCCCAAATGCAGAGTCCAGACCACGTCCACTTGGGTCCCACCAGTGTGCGGATGATACCTCACCTCTGTGAGACACATCCTTCAGCAACCTGGCTTCTGACTGCACCACATTCCTGTTGCTGAGGAAGATCAGCCGCCGGAAGTAGTGCTTGTCATCCCCCTGCACGTCCTCGACCACATAGCTGCCACTCAAGGGACTGCAGTCTTGGTGCTGAACGGTCCGGACCCCGATGTCCCCACCCACAGACAGAAAGGGCACCTGAAGATATAACAGAGATGTGGTCAAACACCAGCTCAATTAAGAAACAATGAGAAATGATTGTGTGTGTGTATGAGGAATCCCCATACCAAGGTTCAGGACAGCAAGAATTTCCAAGATTTGCCATTCTATTAAAGAACTTTCCTGGGGCCTTTCAACAGATCACAAAAGGTTTAATTCACTCTTTGGAAAACCAATTGAACACATAAAGATCTCCCAAACCCTTATTGAAATGCAAGGGTTCTCCCTCAGAAAAACATGATGTTCTCCTTAGGAATCCTCAAAGGATTTTCCATAAAAGCTACAGGGAACCCTTCGGAGGGAACTACAACTTTGAGAGAAGGAATCTGAACAGGGATAAAGAGAACAAAAATCCAGAGAGAAAGCAACCATTCCAAGTTTGGAGAAATCTCCCCCTTCCCCCAATTACTCTCATCTTTTTCCCCATTTTTCTAAACGGGAGAAAAAATTAGGAGAAAAATACATTTTTCCCCTAGACTTTTCCATTTCCCTTCCCAATCTTTGCTTCTATTTCTTTTAAAGACCTCCAAGAGTATTTAATAATCACCAGGGACCCCTGACTTTGCAGAGATGCAGGCACTGGAGAGAAGGTCCCAAATGACCTCCCCACAGGATCTACATCTCTTTGATGGACACCAACCCCAAAGTCTGCCAGAAAGAATCAAACACACATTCATCTGCAAACACAAGACAGCGTAGTGGGCAGAACCACAGGCTAGAACCTGGAAGTCTAGGTTCATCTTTTCAGATCTGTTACTACAGCAACAACCCCCAGGGACCTTGGCTTTCCTATCTACCACGGATAAAGTACCTGTAATGCACTCACCTGTCAACTGCCATCAGCAGGATGGAATGAGACAATGTCAGCAAAAACCTTGTTTCCTTCCCAGGAAAATACCAGACCAGCAATGCTAATATCCTGAAAACTAACCTGAGCTGTTTTGCTTCTTTTCCATTCTACACTCAGATGATGGTTCTAAGAAGCAAAATGCTCAAGGAAGGTCTGCACAAAAGAGGGTAAGGAGAAACAGAGTATGAACAATCCAAAGTATAAAGAGCTGGAGCCTGCAAGGTGGAGAGCATTTCATCTTTGTGGAGTCTCAGAGGCTCCACAAACACAGATGCTACTGGGGGTCTCAAAAGAGCAACCTCTCTCCTTCTTCTCACTGTCTGGGGCAAGAGAACATAAGTACTGCCCACTTAGTTCTGAGCTGCTGACATGCCCTCCAGGAATAGACTAGAGGCAGAGACCCTCATCCTAGCTCCTTCTAAGACACCGTCTGCCTTCGTGGCTGCTAATATGACTTCTCTAGAGATCCATGAAAGCTGTTGCCAGAGCTCTGTTACCTGCTGTTGGGCGGGCATCCCGGCAGGAGCCAACTCCATGACTCTGGCTGACAGCTCAGCCTGAATGCTGTCCATGCCTTCGTACCGCTGGCCTCGGTGGAGGGCCACTGTGATCAGCCTCCTGAAGCCTGCACTGGCCGCCAGCTGCTTCCGACCCTCCTCCATGCCAAAGAGCCACTCAGTCTCACGACCCTGGGGGACTGGAAAGAGGCACTTGGTGACACGGAGTCCAGGGAAGAGTGTTCAAGCCCCAACCAATATGACCTACATGGCAGAGTCAGCCCCGGCATAGGCCCAGCATCCCTTCCAACTGTGACCCACTGAGGGCTATCAATTCCCTACTGCACAATGCCCTGAGCAAAGCAGCTATCAGACACATGGTAGGACCTACGTGACCATATAAGGGGTAGAGGCAGGTACCTAGTGCAAGAAAAATAGCAGTAATACTAACACTTATTATATACCAAGCAAAATTCCAAGAAGTTTACAAACAGAAACTAATTGAATCCTCACAAGAGTCTAAGATGCAGGTGGTATTATTGTTCCCATTTTATAAACGAGGACATTCTGACACAGAATGGAATTATTTACCCAAGTTCATACAATTAGTAAATGGTGAAGCTGGGGCTCAAACCCAGGCAGCCAAGCCCCAGGCTCCGTGCTTGTATCGACTTTACTATTTGTTCCCCCAAGTAGACAGGTAGGCTTATGGAATACTTGGGAAAATAGCTCACTTGTCAGCAAATTACCAGCATGATGATTTCAACATCTTGCCTTTGTCTAGAATATCCTACTTTTGAAGATTTTATTTATTTGACAGAGAGAGACACAGTGAGAGAGAGAGAACACAAGCAGGGGGAGTGGGAGAGGGAGAAGCAGGCTTCCCGCTGAGCAGGGAGCCCAAAGTGGGGCTTGATCCCAGAACCCTGGGATCATGACCCGAGCCGAAAGCAGATGCCTAACGATTGAGCCACCCAGGCACCCTAGAATTTTCTACTTTTGAAAGCACTTCATCATCTTATTTCTTTTGATCATTACTGAGGTAAATCGGGTATCATTTATACCCTTCACTAATGTCACTTCTGTTTATTAAGCACTTATCATGTGCAAGCACCACTCTAAGAGATTTTATACTTCTCACACCTACACAACACAGTTAACAATCCCACTTTATAGATAAGGAAACTCAGGCACAGAAAGAAAAGGAACGTCCAAGGTCACACCACCAGGAAGGGACTGAGCTAGAACTGGAACCCAAATAGTCACTTTTTTAGCTACTACTCTGTACTGTATCCCTAAATTCAGCAGAAAAGCACAGCCAACTTCCCCCAAGTCGTGCAGCTCACAGGCTACAGAGCTGAGACCCTGCTGCTTCCATGACTCCATGTTACAAAGTAACTCTCTACACTGTGAGACTTACCTAATTTATCCCTCTCTCTCCTCCCTACCAAACCCATTCTCACACCAAGCCTTTGCAATGGAAGATGTGAAGAAATAAGCCTCAAATCTTAAGCAGGTAGCTGGACGGCGCTATTCCCCCTTCCTCATGCCTGGCCTAGTCTAACCTCTTGAAGTGCCACCCCCTGCAAGATAAAACCAGCCACGGTGTACCCATCCACCAAAGCCCCAGCCCCTATGAGCCAGCCCCTCCAGGGAAGAGAGGGAGCAATCCCAACTCACTGATGAAAATGGCAAAATGATTGTCCCGCGATGGTTTCACAGTGGGGCTGTCCACCACGTGGAGTGTGTAGCGTGGCTCCCCCGTGTCCCCATCGCACAAGTCCAGAGAAACACTCCCCAGCCCGGCCTTGCGGTACAGCTGGCTGCACAGCCAGGCATACTGCTGCCGCTCCCGCACCGCCTCGGCCAGCCGCTCGGCACTCTCCAGCCGCACAGGCTTGCCCTGCTCCTGAGCACATAGCTCAAAGATCTGAAGGGCAGAGCCAGGGACTGGCCTGAACTTGGTCATGATGAAGGCAAAGACAGGTAGGGAGAACCGAGGCTCTGCTTCCAACACCTGGTCCTGGCTGTTGGCCACCTGGTGCACCCTCACCATCCACCCCTCCCGGGAGAAGTGACCCACTGCTTTCTTCAGGATGTGAGCCTGAGCCAGGGAGATGCAGAGGTAGCGACCGCCCACCTGCAGGACACGGCCAACCTCAGCCAGCATCCTGTCCACTTGGTGCAGGGTCTTCTCCTCCTCATCTGTCAGGACAGCGTCCAGGGTGCCCTTGTCCAACACCACCTGGAACGAAGCATCAGGAAACTCCATCTGTGTCATGTCCATCTTCAAGAAGCTCATCTGGGGCCGTCGGCTGGCATTGCGTTCCTTCATCTGCTTAATGACCACCTCACTGATGTCGATGTTCACTATATCCTGATAGCCCACATCATACAACTGTTCACTTAGCTCTGAGTTACCGCACCCAATCACCAGCACCTGAGGGGAAAAAGCCAACAAGGTAAAGGTGATCAAGGCAAAGGAATGACCTGCAGACACTTCCAGGAATCAAGTCTCACCTTGGCTGTTAACTTTTCAGAAGGTGTAAAGGTTATTATCAGCAGAGAGCACCATTACAGAGGTGATTCAAGGTTCCATCCTGAAACACTACTGCTTAGAGAAACTCACCAGTGAAAACCACATTCAGTCAAACAATACAAGGTATGTAAAAATGGGTTTCCATACTGCAAAAACAAGCGAATCCTGGTTGTTCTTAGAAGCAAGCACTGATTACTCATGAAGTGATAGGAAGTCACAGAATCCAAATTTACTATGGAAAACCTACTTGTGGCATAAATCTATTCCACTCATACCTAAAGGCACACCTCATGGTATTCTGTTTTCTTTTTCTGTTTGTTTTGTTTAAGTTGGCTCCACCCCCAGCACGGAGCCCAAGGCAGAGCTTGAACTCACAACGCAGAGGACAAGACTTGCGCTGAGCTCAAGAGTCAGACACTTAGCTGCCTAAGCCACCCAGGTGCCTTTATTCTGCTATTTTGTAAAGCCAAACTTAAAACACAAGTTGTTGCCTCCCTCTCTGTGGAGCAATCGCCCACTGAACCTTCAAACTTCAGCCCCACTGTCACCATCTCTGGAAAAGCTGGTGGGAAATGCATAAGCCTTGGACTGAATGGGGCTGAGTTTAAATTCCCATGTGACCACTCACTACATGTATGATCTTGGACAAGAAACGCGCTCAGAGCCGCAGTTTCCAAATCAATACAATGAATGAACCGTACAGAGTTGCTGAGATTTCAACCGTTGAAGGCACATACACACACACAGCACTCAGCATAAGTCTTGGCACTTAGAGCATCCTCCACGAATGTCACCTTTCTATCCTTCTTTCTTCCCCACCTCCAGTACACTTCATCTCCATCAAACCCCTAGCATTGTACTTAGCAGTTGTCACTCCTGGAACGTGCCTTGGGGTTCTTGTAGCTGAGGAGCTGAGCACAGTGCCTGAAACTCAGTGTGCCAGCAACAACCACTCCGTTAACAGACTCAGGTATCAGTAAAGCCACAGGTATTATCTGCTCTACAGAGACGGACAGTGACAGAAACGCACACCACTGCTCGAGGAGGCGATAGCTAGGTGGGACTACTAAAGTCTCTGTTCCAGTGGGATTACTAATTCAAGCATGAGCTGGGAGCAGGAGGTCTCTTACCTGAAAACCTTTAAAAGAACATTTTAAAACTGCCTTTTAGCCGAGTGACGCATAGAACCCGGAAAATACGGGCCCCGTTTGTTACCAAAATACGGGCCTGTCGCTATCCACCGAGGGCAGGATTAAAGCTCTCGTTCCCACATTCCCGAGCACACACTCGGGACCGCCAGGCCGCGCTCACCTTCTCTCTGGGTTTGATGTATTTGTGCAGCACCCCGCACAGCTCCAGGTAGCTTCCATACCACTCGAAAGCTCTCCTTCCTCGCTGCTGGAAGAACTTCTCCCAATAGTCAACGGAGCCGAACTCCTGGCAGCTTTTGGGTAAGAGGTTCATATTGTCACTGTCCGAGCGGCGCCTTCAAGACCCTCCTACTCGCCCTCTGAGGTACCATCGGTTAGGCTTCCACTCACGCTGGCGCCGGCCCCCTGCAGTGGAATTCTTCCCAAGACCAATAACCACACTGATTTATCCCCCGCTCAAAACCCAAAGAGAACACGTCAGCCCCACGCGCGAGACACTGAACCCAACACCCTCACCCGTCCTCCCGGCTCACAGCCCCCGCCCCACGTGCGGAACCCCTCACACTCCCTCAGAGCGAGGTTTCAGAACCCGCAATCATATCCGGGTGCCAGGCGTCGCGATTGGTCGGCCACGCAGACCCTCCCAGCGTCTCATTGGTCACCGCTTTTCGCTCCTGGCACCTCATTGGCCGACACGCGCGCGCCACACGCCGGCGGAGTCGTCGCGGGCGTGGAGCGTTCCCCGGCGTGCGGCGAAGGGGGCGGGGCCACGGGCCGGAGTCCGGGCGGAAGAGGCCCCGCTGCCTTGTCTGCAGATTGCGTCCGAACGCCGCGCGAGGGCGGCCTTCCCCGTTCTGAGCTTTTCCTCCGCAGCGGAGGCCGCCCTGACCTCCTGAGATCTGTGTTCGCTTGCGGGCCGAGAGGGCCGAGCGGGCCTCGTGGCCACTTCTGATCTTGAAGGGCCGAGCGCGGCCGGCGGGGCAAGCGGGGAGGACGAGGCCCCGGAAAAGAAAAACCAGTAGAAGGACGTGAGGCAAGGAATGAGTAGAGCCGGTCCTTAGCAAAAGAAAGCCATCCTAGCCAGGTTCTCTTCTGCGTCTCCGGCCCCACCCTCCCGTAGTTCAACCGCTTGACTTGGATAATTGAGGTTTATTTTGGAGAAAACTGGCACTGGGCGGTATTTTTTCTGAACTAAAATGCAGGATTCCACTATTAATGTAGTGACGTGAAAACTCACAAGAGGAAGAGCAACCACGCATACAGAGGTGCCTCCTCACTTTCTTCTCCCCCCAAAGCACAACATGCAAATTTCAAACTCATCTTGACAATCAGCCTCCTTGGGTTGTCATTGCGGTGTCATCTATCAGTAGTTGCTACTACTGTTGCTACTGCTTCCTTGATGTGTTTAATGAACAAAGTACTTTCAGATGCCCATCTTATCCTAATACCCTAAGGAAGTTCCTGTGACCGGCACATGTGCCAAATATGAGCATCGCTGGGCTTTTCACAACACTGAATTGCGGAGGGAATGTACACACCGAGCAGGACACATATGCGTGGAATGGGCATCTCTAGTCTGGGCTATTACAGACGTCAGGAGCAGAGGTAGCCAAAAGGACTATGAATCCTTAGAGTGGACTTAAACTTTGGTTTAAGAGAGTAGTTCTCAAGTTTTGGCATGCATCAGAATCACTTGGAAGACTTATTAAAACAGATTGCTGAGCCCCACTTCCAGAGTTTCTCATTGATCAGGACTATCCTGAGGTCTAAGGATTTGCATTTCCAGCAATAGTGATACCAATGATTGGTCCAGGACCACATTTTCAGAACTACCGACTCAAAATATAAGAGAAGAGTCACAACGAATTTAGTTCCCACTCCCCAACTTTGACAGGTTACTCTAAGAGCCCTCTACAAGTGACATCAAAGAAAATCTATCTTCATGTACCACCTGTTGAGTTCGTATTGTTTCCTTTCAACAAAGAAACTGGAAAGGAGCCTCTGAGGTGGCTTCAGCTAGTGCATCATGTAGAGTTCCTAATGAGTGAGATATGGGTCCTTTCAGAAAACACTGATTGAGAGCTGAGGACACTGATTTGCCTGAAGTGCTTCACAGTACCAAAAGTAAAAACATTTAAACAACAAACAAACAAACAAAAAGCACAGCCTCTGCCCTCTCTGCTGAGGTTTTATTAAATTCATCAAACATTTAAATTGCCTAGGATGAACCAATCTTTGTGATAAAGCTAAGGATACGGTGGTAAGCAAGGCAGTCACCTGGTAGGCACACATCAAACAATTACAAAAATAATGTGTATGAGGGTTGTGGTGAATGCTGTGAAGGAGAAGTATAAGGTTCTGTAAGAGCAGATACCTTCCAGACCTCTTCTGCTCTGGAGGTGACCAGAGAAGGCTTTCCTGGGAAGGGACAAAAAGTTTCTCTGATCTGTCAGTTTTGGTAAACACTGCACATCTGAACTTGTTCTAGTAGTATCCGCATGACATTGGTAAGAACCAAGTATTTCACCCCCTGAAGATCTCTTCAGGAGCCTTTGGCTCCTGCTTTTCCCTGTGTCTCTAGTGTCCTTTCTCTTAATGGCTTGATATTGGAAAGATAGTAAGAAGTGATTTCTGTCATAGCCCAGGCACCAGCCCCTTATTTAACGCCTTTATTTTTTGCACCGTGTTTCAGACTAAGAGGATAAGTAATTTACCTATCGTCGCCTCTGTCTGCTCCCTTCTTAGAGCCTAAGGAAGCAGTAACAACCACAGAACTTTAAGCTAAAAGTCACTACGGGTCCTAAAATGTAGGAATGGCTCTTGCAGAAATGATTTACATATAGCATTAGACTCTGTCTTTTAAAATACTTACATTTGAAACATAGTGCTTTTGACTATAAAATATAATTAAGCAGTATCATTAGTATAGTTAGTTTAAGCTAATTAGATATTAAAATGGGTTGTGTTTTAGGGGCGCCTGGGTGGCTCAGTCGTTAAGCGTCTGCCTTCGGCTCGGGTCATGATCCCAGGGTCCTGGGATCGAGCCCCGCATCGGGCTCCTTGCTCAATGGGAAGCCTGCTTCTCCCTCTCCCATTCCCCCTGCTGTGTTCTCTCTCTCTCTCTCTCTCTCTCTCTCACTGACTCTCTCTCTCTCTGTCAAACATACACAAAATCTTAAAAAAAACATGGTTTGTGTTTTATTAGGATCTCCAGAGTGGGGACCAGTGTGCTTTATAAGGCAAAGTGAGCATACATATGGCCATTCAATGTCATGGTTTTTTTTCCCCAAAAATATAAATCCAGACCTCTAAATATGTAATTTGCAACTACTAGTCTTACTTAATTTAAAACATAAGGTTTTAGGAACAACATTCAATTAATTGGTTTTGCTAAAATAATTGCAAAATGAGGCATAATAAAAGCATTTCCTGAGTATGGGGGAATAGAGAATAGGATAGAGCTTGTGACAGAATAACATTTCCCCATAGATGTGTATGTCCTAATTCCCAGAATTGGTGAATAAATCAGGCTACGTGGAAAGGGGAATTAAGTTTACTAAGCATCTGACATTAAACCGGGAGACTAATCTAGATTATCCAGGCAGGCCCAATGTAATCACAAGAATCCTTCAAAGTCCTTAAAAGTGGAAGAGGGAGGCAGAAGAGGGAGAACCAGAGAGGTAGCATGAGAAGGATCAGTGCAACATCACTGGCTTTGAAGATGGACGAGGGGGCTGGGAGCCAAGGAAAGGGCCTGCCAGCCTATGAAAGCTGGAAAAGCCAAGGAAAAGTATTGTCCCTTAGAGCCTCCAGAAGCAACTCAGCCCAGTACACACCTTGATTTTCGTCCAGTAGGACCCCATCAGGCCTCTGACCTCCAGACCTGGAAGACAATGAATTTGCATTAAGATATTAAGGTTCTGGTAACTGGCTACAGGAGCAGGAAATACTACAGAGCATATACAAGAGAGGGTATGGGTGGTTGGGCAGAAGGTTACACTGGGAAGAATGCAGCAGAAGATAAAACTGGGAACTGAGGTGAACAGCACATCAGTTTTCAGAAGTCTTCCATTCTGAGCATTTAGATTAAAGCTGTCAGGCCTTAAGAAGCCAATGGACAACTAGGGTCATGACAGAAAGAACTGATATGAGAGAAGTTTTGAGGAAGAACAGAAGCATCTGATGTGTGATCCTGTCTAGGGAATAAAAGACCCGAGGACTCAAAATGGCATCCACATTAGCCTCTGGATGACAGGGGTAATTGCCTATACAAAGGAACAGGGAAGGAGAAAGGAGGTCATTTGTAGAACTGTTGCTTGAGAGGAAATTAGAAGCTATCATGCTAGCCACAGCTGGCTACAAGCCAGTCTCCCCGCCCTGCAGGCCTGTCCCAGGGCTCATACCCTTCCAAGTGGACTTAGCGGTCCAAGCCATGAAAATACTTCATGCGTGGGGTGTAAAGCTATTTAAAGGGAATCTCTCCTTGGTGTCCAGGGAGCGGCTCATCCAGGGCTGGAAGTAATTTCAGACTGGAAGTCTTTGCAAATGACTTTGTTTTCCACATTTGAGAAGTTAAGAATTGAATGTCTCCTGTCTCTTAGAAGAATGGAAGGCAGGCGTGGTATTCTAGGATAATGTACCATTTTATTAGCTGGCATCGGCACTTGCTTAAAGGTATTCTTGACCTGAGAAGTATTGCTCAAGCTGACACTGGATTCCTAAGATCGGGGTAATCCTAATAGTATTTTTTAGTTTGCGTAGCACTTGTACTTTACCATGAATTTCCTCGCACATTACCGTGAATTTGCAGGATGGACACACGTGGACACACACACATCATTGAGGCAGAACTCTAATTGATTAAAAATAAATTTAAGGGCACCTGGGTGGCTCAGTGGGTTAAGCGGCTGCCTTCGGCTCAGGTCATGATCCCAGGGTCCTGGGATCGAGTCCCACGTCAGGCTCCCTGCTCGGCAGGGTGTCTGCTTCTACCTGCCCCTCTGCCTGCCTCTCCCCCTGCTTGTGCTCTCTCTCTCTGTCAAATAAATAAATGAAATCTAAAAAAATAAATAATTAATTAATTAAAATTTCTTAAATGTTACATAGGATGGAGTAATTTTAGCCAGGCTGCCTCTGGGTGTCATATTTGATTACCCAGGATTCTCTTTGTTCAGTAGTTTCTTCTGTCCGTGTGGACGTCTCTGGGTGCACTGGTTTCCTGATAACGGGTGGGCTGCCTATCTACTTTTATGGGAGAAAGCAAAGGCCATAGCAGAACAGGCAGGTTGTTTGCCTTTGGGGCCAATGGGCAATAACATTTTGGAAAACTAGAGGGAATGCTGCCAAGGGCGATGGCCTGTGCCTGGTGTGTCAGACGCCTACTGAGGGGGCTCCCAAGGCCTCTTTTTGCTTCTCATCTTTGTTTTTTTGCACCCTGGACATCGGGAAAGATTACAGGAATACACCATCACAATGTCTTCTCCATAATTCTATTCTAAACTTCAGTTCCTTTGCGGGAAAAGAAAGAACAAACCTTGGAAAACCCAGCTGTTTTTTTCTAAACTCTAGCACTCAGCACATCTACCATGTG